CTTGGATTCTAAAAATTTCCTTGTTAGTCGGGATGTCAATTTTTTTTGAAACCATTTTTCCTTACCAACCCAACTCTACTTTCAACCCACTTTGCACTCGCCCTACTATCTTACCTCTTTCTTAACCCAACCACACCTCATCCTTACCCACCACTCATGCGCCTACTTCCTCTCCCATGCGCGAACCCGCTTTCTCCCCAAATCCTCTACCTCCACTTCCACCTCTATCTACATCATTGCCTACATCTCCCACATCTGTTCTTCCTTGCATGCCCCAACGTCACTTGACCCATTCTACACAACCCCCTCTCTGGAAACATGATTACCTTATGTCTTTTGCTTCTACTTCCTCTGATCAGTCATCCTCCTCACTGTCGGCTCTTCCTTCAAGTACTAAACACCCCTTGACTCATTACCTTTCCAATCACCGCTTTTCTCCTTCACATCGTGTGTTTCTTGATAACATTTCAGGAACCATTGAGCCCAATTCCTATGCTCAAGCTGTATTAGATCCTAACTGGCTACTTGCTATGAAGGTCAAGTTAGATGCATTGCAATTCAATCGCACCTGGACCCTTATGCCCTTACTGGCTGGTCATCAACCTATTGGGTGCAAATGGGTGTTTGAAATCAAATACAATTCTTATGGCACCATTGAGCATTACAAAGCTCATCTCATCACCAAAGGTTACACCCAAATTGAGGGTGTTGATTACAGTGAGACTTTCTCTCCTATTGCCAAGCATACTACTCTCCGTTGTCTTTTATCTGTTGCTACTGCTCATAATTGGTTTCTTCACCAACTTGATATTACCAATGCCTTCCTCCATGGTGACTTGCATGAGGAGGTCTATATGGTTCCTCCTCCCGGCCTTTGCCGACAAAGGAAAGAATTTGGTGAGTCGGCTTAATAAATCTCTTTATGGGCTTAAACAACCTTCTTGTAACTGGTTCTCCAAATTTTCAACTGCTATTAAGAAAGTGGTCTTCCACCAATCTATGGCTGACTATTCCCTCTTTACTGAAGTTAATGGAGATTCTTTTACCGGAGTGCTCATATATGTTAATGATATTACCATTACAGACAATAATCTTCGAGCAATAGACCACCTTAAATCCTTCCTTCTCAAACAGTTCTGCATCAAGGATCTAGGTGACTTAAAGTATTTTTTGGGCATTGAATTTTCACGATCCAAGAAAGGTTTTTTGTTTGTTCCAAAGAAAATACGCTCTAGATATTTTACAAGATACAGGTTTAATAGGGCACAACCAGAAAAGTGTCCAATCGAACCAAATGTGAAATTGAAAACCACATATGGTGTTATACTCAATAATCCAACAAGATATAGGTGGTTGGTTGGAAAATTAATTTATCTTACTGTCACAAGACCAAACATTGTTTATGCAATTCAGAATTTGAGTCAGTTTACGCACCAACCTAGAAAGCCACACATAGAGGCCACACTTCGTGTCTTGCGATTCATTAAGGGTACAACTGGCCAAGGCTTGTTTTTCCTGACTATGAACAATCTTGAGTTAAAAGCTTATTGTGATTTAGATCATGCAGGTTGTCAAATAACATGAAAATCAACTAAAGGTTATTGTGTGTTTCTAGGTCACTCTCTTGTCTTATGGAAATCCATGAAATAACCAACTGTTCCTTGTTCATCTGCAGAAGCCAAGTATAGGGCCATGGCAAACACATGCCTTGAAATTACATGGTTGCGATATATATTGCGAGATTTAAGAGTCAAACAAAAAGGCCTTGCTCCTTTGCATTGTGATAATCAAGCTACATTGCATATAGCGGCAAATCTAGTTTATGACGAAAGAACAAAACATATTGAAATAGATTGTCACATTGTGAGAGAGAAGCTACAAGCTGTCAAAATTTCTCCAATCTACATTTCTTCATGGGATGAGCTTGTAGACATATTTACGAAAGCCTAGGGTCAGGATAGCTTTAATTACCTGAGTCACAAGTTGGGACTTCTCAGCATTCACTCTCCAACTTGAGGGGGAGTGTTAGAAATCATATTGAGTAATTCAAGGAATTTACCTTTGTTGTATTAGACTCCACAATCAATGGTTTAGCCATGATTGTAGCAGTGAATTAGGATCCTTGATCATAGCAATAAATTAGTATTGTCCCAGAATAGACTTAGAAAGGTTGTATATATATCTCTTGTACCTGTACTTTAATTTAATATATATAGAAATTCTCTTCCATATCTTTCTCCTTTCAGTAACACCCTCGTTTATTAAGTTACACTGTTTAGTAATGCATAATGATTAATGCTATGAATTGGATCTCCTCATTTCTAAGGCAATGATCACAAAATAGATGTCAGCTGTAGTGAAAATTATGTCAAAGTTTTCCAATAATAAATTTGCTCACAAATTGCCCTTTCAAATGAAGTGTTACTGCACATATCTCCAATGTGAAGACAATATTCTAGTCTTAATATGCCATTAACTATTTCTGCTTTGACTGACTAAAATAGTTTCAATTTGTTTGAGGCTTTTTCATAAGCTCTAGCTACTTAAACTTACTTGAGATTTGGTCGCCATATATTAGTTATTGGTGACTAAAAAAAAAATTTAGTCTCCAAAAATAATGTAAATAGGCGACAAGAATAATTTTAGTCGGCGTTTGTCTATATTTTAGGCTACTAATTCTGGTTTTAGTCGGCGTACACATTCTTTTGCCGATCAAAAAATTTTAGCCGCCAACAGATTGGCTTATTTATTGGGGTACCCTCTGCCGACCATAGAATTTAGTAGGGAAATATAAACCATCAGTGACTAAAAAAATTTAGTCATTGTATAGTTAGATTTTGCCGGCAAAAACAATAGTTAGTAGCCAAATTACGAAAATAGCTGCAAAAGATTTTGTCGTTATTGAGTTATATTTGTCGACAAATTGTAATTTAGTCACTAAAGGTAGGGAATATGAATATTGGCACCCTCCCCTATTTGTTTCACACAAATCTGTTATGTCTCTGTTTTATCTCAAAAACACATAGACACCCGCTCACCACCAAACTTGATGCTCGCTCACTGACGGTCACCACCCCACTGTTGCTAACTACTGCCGCTCCCCACCGTCGCACGTCGCCATCGCAACAAATCACAGGTTTTTGTCTCTCTCTCTCTCTCTCTATCTCTATCTCTATATCTCTCTCTCCCTATGTTGCTATCGGCCCTCTCCCTCTCTGTCGATCTAGTCCTCTCTCTCTCTCTCTCCTTCTCCATTTCCCTATTTCCCCATCTCTCACACTTCATTTAGGGTTTATATGTTTTTTTAAGTTTAATTTTGCGTTGATTTCATAAATGGGTTTAGTTGAAGTGTTTGATTTCCATGATTTAAAACCCATCAAATTGAGTTTATCATTTTCTTTTTTTATTATTTATCAAATTGAACTTCCAAAGGATGAGAAAGAAGTTCTAGCAATGGGTGGAGGCATAGATGGCATGGATTATTGAAAATGATAAACGCCAATGCCCTAATCTATTCATTTTTTTGGACTATTTGAAAAAAAAAAAAAAAAAAGAGAAGAAGAATAAGAAGAAGCTTATTAATTGAAGCTATAGAGAATTGAAGTTACGGTAGAAAGTGGATTTTAACCTTGAAATTGAAATGGGGGACTCCCTGTTTTAAGCTGTTTAAACTTTTCATTTCGAGAAGACAAAGAAGAATTAGAGTAATCATAATGAGATGTCAATAGTAGGAAGTTTCTTCACATTGATTTGTTCACATCTCTTATCCCCTCGGTTACACTACACTATAACACAATAACAGGTGAGAAACATGTTTTCTTTTCCTTTCTGTGCGCCCTGATTATATCTATTATATGTAAATTAGTTTTTATTATTTAATTTTTTAAATATAGTAAGATTAAAATATCAAAATACTACCATTCCTAAAGATTGTAAAATTAATTTGTTCCTACTCTACCTCTGCCTCATGACTTCTCTGATTTTCCTTGGCCCTAATATGATTCATGATGAGAATAGTGCACTACAAACAAAGCCCATAAATAGTCCTAGTATTCTCAGTGATTTTCTTCCATTTGTTTTATTGAGAAAAGTTCTTTTCGATAGAGCAATGCTTGGTCTCAGCTTTTTATAAAGTAGCAGGATCAATTTTGCACAAGGTGACCTGTTTGTGTGGTTTAGAAACTAACATTACACTACCGGATATGATCGAATCATAATTTTATTTATTTATTTATTTATTTATTTATTTTTGTGTGTTTGTGTGTCAAGAAATTCTTAGAATTTTGTGTTTGAGGATAGCTTCTAACCTTTATGTCAACATTAGAGTTTTTCTTGGAATAAAGTAGAAGCTTAGTTAGTCACATCTTAAAGTTATAAAAAGTCAACATTGGAAGAGTATAAAATCTACAATCTAGTAAAGTTTTGGCACAGTTTTTTCTTTCTTAAATCTTTTGTAATTTTTTCAAATTTTCTTTTCTCTTGATTTACTTGTTTTTTGTCAATCACTAACAGATCAATCAATTAATTTTTAAGGTAATTTACAACTCTTGAAATTTGATTTAAATTTTACTTTGATTCTTGTTGTTCAAATTAAACTATTTAATTTGAATACTTGAATCTAATTTGGCGATCAAATAAAATTAGATTTAATATGTAAGGAGTAAATGAGGATGTAGCTAACTAAGGTAGCTTTGTTGTACAGCAGCTAGTAGGAATACCTAATCTAAGGACTTCAAGCGTCTTTAACTATCTAAGAAATTTAGTGCGCCCAAACTTAATTCCGTCAAGAACTAATGTTCGAAGACACGTTTGGTTATTGAAAGCATTAGGACTACGAATTGATTGTCAAAATCGTAGTAAAGTAGTTGGCTCAAATCTAAAACACTAAGTGCATTCATCCTTGAAAAGAATTCATGTGAACATGACCATGCATTTCCATTGCCTTGTAATAGTAATATTTGGAGCTTTGGACATTCCAAGACCTCAGGAAGGTTACTAATTCAGTTTCTCATCAATGATATGCCAGTGTATAGATCCAAACTATCCATATTTGGCCAGTCTTTCAAATTGCAACCAGCTCTTACCAAATACTGTTTGGACCCAATATCTATGGCAACGTCACATACAACATCATGCATTTTGATACAATCTTGTTTATTGTCACTTGCTAATAACAAACAAGGAGCTATGAGATTGTCGGTCACTGACTTTGCTCTGCCATTAGCTTCAAGCATTGTGTCAACTTTTTTGAATACCCTCAACCCCATCCCATATCGTACCAAGTCTTCTATTAAGATGTTATGATCCTCGGGAAATAGAGAATAAAGCAAGAAGCAAGCCTTGGCTTTCTCATCTTGCAGGTAATCATAGCTCAACCTTAGACTTTTGCACACTTGTTGATCAACACCTTCAATGTTTGGTGGCATTGATTTTCTCAATTCTCGAGCTGCATCGTTCCATAAATTAGGGTCATCTTTACCTTTCATTGCACTTCCAACAGTAACAAGTGCTATAGGCAAGCCTCCACATTCTTTACAAACCTCATTAGCTAAAATATTCAACTTGTTAGAGTCAACAACATCGCCAACATTCTTTTTGAACAAGTCCCATGAATCTTTTTCAGATAAAACACTTAGATGAAGAATCTTTGTCCTCAGCCTTTCCATTTCCATGGAATTGCATACTTGCTCACGTTGTGTCGTGATTATGATTTTGCAGCCCTTGTGATCACGATAAGATGGAATGCCTATGGCTACCAAATCAAGTTTGGCCCAAACATCATCCAATAGAACAAGGATCTTCTTCACATCCCTAAGTCTTGCACACAACGTGCTTGTTCATTCAGTTGCACTTGGTCGATTAATTAATTTGGTGAAACCCAAGATGCCACCTATTTTATCTTGAATCTTTTTAATGTCCGGGTTCTGAGACACTACATCCATCACAACTTCATCAAAAAGCTTATCAGATTTTGCTTGTTTACCAAATTCTTTTACCAAAGTTGTCTTTGCAACGCCCCCAATACCATATATTCCAATGAAGTTGATATTGTCATCACTTAGAGTCTTCATTACATTCATCATTGCCAAATTTCTAGAAGCATAAGGCACAAGCTATTCAAATGGTATGGACTCTATCCCCAAGAGACATGCAGGTTTGGATATGTTGTTATTGAATGTGCCTTCTTTTCCTAGCTCTTTAGCCTCCTTCCACATAGTTCTTGAAATAGTAACAAAAACAAACATTTCTTTAAAGAACAATAAAAAGAAGCCTAATTTAAGTAATGACCACAAATGAAAAACTCCGGGGATGAGGCCAATGCGGTTGGTATTAAAAGTAGACGACAAACAACATTGGAAATGATCATATTGATAGAATTATAATGTTGGCTGGATATATACATATGAACGTCGTTGTTTTATTTACAAACTGATATTGAAAGTTCAATAATTTGTTCATGTTACATTTATTGAAATTGGAAATTTTTCATTTTTTGTCCAATTTTACAATCATTTGATGTGCAAATTTTTCATAAAAAATGTACCAGACATTATTTCTCTTTTTATTTGGTACAGATCGATGAACTCGTGCACGAAACTGAATTGTACAGGACTAGTTGGCACTTCTTATATTTTTTGAAGAATTAAATATTTTTGGATAGATGTTTTGGTGGAACATATTTGGATAGAATAATAGTAGTTATATTTTTGGATGGATATGTATGGAAAATATTTGGGTAGACTACTAGTTATATTTTTTGATAGATGCACATGGATAAAAATTTAAAACATAATAACAAGTACTCGTTATGTTTTAAATTTTTATGCTAGCTGGATGTGACTTGAATGATTACATAAATTACAAGTAGATTTTTAATTGGAGGAATATGTGGTTTGGAATTACTTGTGGATGAAAACTTATAATAATTGCTGACTTTCATCAAGCAGGTTTAGGATTGGATGATTTATATATTTTGTCGAATTTTCATGATTCAGTTGATTTAAATGATGCTTGCAAATTGCATATTATATTGAATGGATTGGATGGATTATTATGATTTACAAGTTTATTTTGTTGGATGTTGGCGACCAAATTTTGGTTTTGTTTTTCCTGTTTTGGTGACCAAGTGAGTAAACATTTTTTTCGGCAAATAACATTGTGGACTTGACTTTCTTCGCGCGCCCCTTTCGGAGAGCTTGAATTGGTCCTACAGTTCGGACTCCTGTCACAGTTTTGAATCTAATCTCACAAAGTGCAATGTGAGACTAATAAACACCAAAAATTCCAATCCGGCAAATCATTTTGGAAAATTAAATTTTTAAATCAAATAATGTCAAACTGGATTGCTTTGCTAGATTATAGAGTCGCCACCTAAATATTTTATTTTAAGAAATTTAGGAAACCCTGACTCGTGCCAAAGGCCACGTGTCCGTCATCACCAAAGTTGCCTCGGCTCGGGAACTTGGGTACGAGAGGGGAAGGTCCTGAAATGAACACCCCCGCTCGCCCGATCAAAGATCGGCCTCTACTAAGCATGATATGTTGTTTTATAGACGCATGTGTTGTTATTCCGGTTATTAGCTAACTTACTATGTGATGCGCACAACATACAAGTATAGACTAAAATCGCAAGAATTAGAACAAAATAACTCATGTTTACTTTTGAAAGTGGTTTGAAATTCCCACTCTCAAGTGGGCTAAAGCGCGGATTTTCCATCAAACATGATGGGCTTGAAACATGATTTTGCCACTTCGCAAAGTGGGCTTGAAACTCACATTTGATGAATTGTTCCAATTTAAACAACAAATCCTTCATCCATAGGCATTCATGCAGTTATGCAAGTAAGCACATAGCCTCATGGTAAGCATGCTATCATAGAAATACTCACACTCATGCAAGTATGCTAAAGCGTAAAACTTATAATGTACTCCAAGCCAAAACAAAAGCTAGTTAGAAATCATGCATGATCCTAACTATGCTAAATGCCTAATGCAACACATGAAATAATGCAACTAATAGGCTCGGCTATCTAATATAGCATATGAATGCAACAATATGATAACATGCTTTGAAACACGTTTATTAGCTAACTTACTATGTGATGCGTACAACATACAAGTATAGACTAAAATCGCAAGAATTAGAACAAAACAACTCATGTTTACTTTTGAAAGTGGTTTGAAATTCCCACTCTCAAGTGGGCTAAAGCGCGGATTTGCCATCAAACATGATGGGCTTGAAATATGATTTTGCCACTTCGCAAAGTGGGCTTGAAACTCACATTTGATGAATTGTTCCAATTTAAACAACAAATCCTTCATCCGTAGGCATTCATGCAGTTATGCAAGTAAGCACATAGCCTCATGGTAAGCATGCTATCATAGAAATACTCACACTCATGCAAGTATGCTAAAGCGTAAAACTTATAATGTACTCTAAGCCAAAACAAAAGCTAGTTAGAAATCATGCATGATCCTAACTATGCTAAATGCCTAATGCAACACATGAAATAATGCAACTAATAGGCTCGGCTATCTAATATAGCATATGAATGCAACAATATGATAACATGCTTTGAAACACGTATTCAAATAAGTATTGAAGTACAATGCAGTTTGAATGATATGCCGAGCCCGATGCATGCAAGACAAATGAATGATGCAAACATGCAAGCATAAGATATGCTAATCAAAACGTGCTCTAATCTAACCATCGAAAGCGATTAAATAAAAGGGAGAAAGACGTGGGGTTGGAAGACATGCACACACACACGCACGCTTATTACAACATTGTGCCCTCACGAAAGAGGGTCTGAATAAATAATAGCTAAGCTAATCTAAGCTAAGCTAATCAAATTAATCTAATCAAACTAATTAGACTAATTATTAAAAACCAATTGAATAAGTAGTAAACTAATTACTAATTATTACAATACTTAACTAATTAGCACACTAATTAATTAAATTACAAAACCAATGAATACTAACTAAACATGTAAAACAAATGTTAAAACTACACTGCTTCAGCTCTGCCTTGGGAAGCGGAGGATGCATGCATGCAGTTTTTCGCCCCAAAAAGCCCACCGGTTTGTTCTTAAGAGGCTCTGTTTGCAGGGTTATCCCAAGAACTTTCTACTCCAACTTACCAATTCCATGTCAAGGAATGCACCAGTGGCCTACCGACCATGAGGGCGTGCTGCCGGCAAGCAACCTGCCAGCCAAAAGAGAGGCACTGCCGGCCAAAGATGAAGCACTGCCGACCATCAGTAAGCCACTGCCGGCCACTGGTGTGCTGAATCACCAAACTGCAACAGAGTACAAACAGAGGAAAAGAGAGGGTTTTCCAAGAACATGTTTGTACTGTGCCCCTCTTTATCATCTCAAAACATCAAAGGAGAGGCACTCTTGGATCCAAAACCACCAATCAAGCATTTTCAATGCATGATAGCCTAAGATCCAAGTTGCACAATGTCAATAAATGCACAAAAACAAGACTCAAAGGACCACCACCCCATCATGCATGATCAATGGTGATGGAGACAAAGGAGATTGACTCATTTCATCACTTTGAGTATGAAATGGACCAATTTACCTTGTGTACAATATAACTTCTGATTGAAAACATGCAATGCACACATAACATGCTTATCTTGGTCATGTTTTATTTGGTTCATTTTGTTTACACATTTTAAATTACTGATTAATTCTTTAACCGATTAATTCCAATGTGAGTGTCCACTAATGAGAGAGGGGTCAACCAAAAGATGGTTTAAGACATGAGAGACATCATGCTTTTGGCTAGGAGGAACCCTCAAAAGAGAGTTTAAGCCATTGAGCACAAGCTCTATCTCAAGCTTAAACACAATCATAAGGTTAACCAACCCTTAAAACAAATAGAAAAACGAAGAAATAAGGGAGGTTGCAAACTTTTTTAGTGTTGAAATGGCATGACAAATAGTGCTACAACATGCAAGCAACACATGCACAACATGTTCCAAAGCCAAAAGCATAAAACTAGTGAAGAACACTACACTAGAGGCATGCAATATCAAACTCAAATGGCCAAACCAGTTCAAAACAGAGCTTAAACATGCTAAAATAGTGGCTAAAACATGCGGAACCTTAGGCACAAAGGGCAAGAAAATCATGCGCACATGTTGGCTCGCAAGCAAGACACAAAGCATAACTCTCAAAACAATGAAAGAGTGAAATAGGTGAGAGTGTGACAGAGATATATGGACTAAAATCATGTGTAAAATGATGCTATGGCATGCAATCATCTCATGCACAGCATGTTAGAGGCCTTAAAACTCAAAGCTAGTAAAGGCCTTTTCACTACAACCATGCAAGATGAAGCTCATATGACCAAGACAACTCAAAATAGAGCTAAAGCATGCTAAATGAGTAGCAAGAATATGCTAAGATAGAGCCTCAAGGAGATAGAAAAACATGCTCACATGTTAAGCCAACTACACATGCAAACAAGATACAAGGAGGGGATGCCACCAACTCCTATTTTGGACCTCAAAACCAACTTTTTACCACTGAAATTCTCCTGGAATTCAGTGGTTAAAAAGCCAAGAAAGGGGTGTTTCAAAATCTTTGACAGATGGCTCAAAAGGCTTTACAAGCCTAAGAGCAAAGGAAGGAAACCACCTCCTAACTAAACAAGGCTCAAACCACCATGTTAGAACCTTAAAAACATAGTTTTTCAAAGGTTAAAACCAGCCTCAAAGTAGTGTAAAAACGATGGCCAACCACTTAACCAAAACAAAGCTTAAAAGAGGCAAGCTTATACATTTGAAGCACAGCAATAAAACAACTAAAATTTTGAGCCAAAACCAAGCTTAAGACCTTAAACCAAGCCTCAAAGAACCTCAGCTCCAAGGTGAAGGTGTTTGGTCAAGGTTCTTAGAACAAATGTGTAGAGAATTCTCACTTTCAAGCACAAAATCAAGAGAGAGAGGATTCTAGAGAGAGAGAGAGAAAGAGAGGAAATTTTGCTCACAAAATTTGTAACCCCCTACATGCAAGAGGATGTTTTCTATATATAGAAGATACAAAATCCTCTTGAAAAGAT